TTTTTTATTTCCCTCTTTGGCCTGTCCGCCATTTTGAAAATTCGTCACGGAGAGAATGCGCATTACGTGGGGTCAGTGGCTGCGTACACCTGGAATCGAGAAAAACAAATGTTCGTCGCACTGAGGAAAGAGTTTGATATGGATATGTAACTCGAGATAGCTGTATTAGGGATGTGTTCACTTTTGATTTCAATAGAGTTGAATCAACACACGTTCATTATTTCCCCTAATTCTATCTGTCTTCCATAAGACTAAGCCCCGAAGTACATTACATGGCGTCTCTAGTGAAAACTCATTTCTACGAGCCTCTATTTACCATGTTTTTTTTTTTTTGTCGTGGTTAAGTGCAGACTTATAGTTGTCCACGCTTTCGGACGCCATGCGTTGAATTATAAATAAACGCAGGGCATCTGAAAGCGTGACAACTATCAGTCATCCGCAAAGTTAAGGACCACTTCGCAAAGCATGAAACCCAAATCAAGTCATCCCAGATAACGGCGAAACGTTTGCATCAAGAGAGCTTCAAGAGTTTGCTCGCGCACACTCCTTCGAACTTGCCATAAGTTCTCCAGCCTACCCCTAATCCAACGACAAGGCTGAGAACGCCGTCAAAATAGCAAAGAAGCTGATGCGAAAGGCCATGGAGACAAAGAGTGACTGGCCATCCTACCCAACTCCGTATCCTCCATCCGAGGTACAAGGACAAGTCGTTTCGATGTCGTCCCGCTCACCGGCCGAGTACTAAGATGTGTGAAACAAGTCAACATAGAAACAAACGGCAACTCATTTATCTGACATATTTAAGTATGACATAGACTCTTACATGCATAATATGGAGCAATTTTGCATTGAACTGTTCCTACGTTGGATTGAATTTAGAGAAAAGTTACGATTACCATCCCAGGATTATTATCCAATCGTCGATTTCATGACTCGAGCAGTGCGTTACTCGAGTTGCGTGACATCCAATCTTCGCAGAAGTTTAAAGCAAAGTAGTCTTCCCGGATGATAAAACCGTTGTAGAAACTTCTTACTTAATCGGACCTGTTGGGTATTCACTGATTGTTAAAAGAACCTTGGATTGTTCAATCCTCACCAGATCCAGAACTTAGACCAATAACAACTAGATCATTCGTTTTTCCCCACGCTCAAAAGTTTCCCTGTAACTGAAGCTCTTCTCATAAAACCTGGCAACTCGAAATCTGAATGAAAGGGTATCCTTTTCGAACATACCATGCCCGTATGGACCTTCTTGTCAATTGGAGAGAATATCGACCCCGCCACTCTCCACTATACGCAAGGATAAATCCGAGAGCCCTAAAATTAAACTCAATATCATGTGCGATTTTTGTGATATCCTTCACCTACTTATGTGGGTATTTCTCGCTCTTGACGACCTTGTGGGAACGTGACTTGTACTTGTAAATAACGTGTGTAGTAAGTTCCTTTAAGCGATCTTGTTCAAATTCCCTCACAAAGTCTGTGTAATCAGACGAAACCGTTGGGAGAAAACAAATCAAGTTGACGAGATCTGTAGCTGTTTGCTGCTCACAAGTACTCATTAAAAAGAAAATGAAAAGATGTATCTTTATCGTAGATCAATATTTACGAATGACTGTTTTTTTTCTTGAATGACGACGGGGTTCACAGATTTGTGACGTCTTTACGTTCTTTGTTCAATATCTGGGCTTTTGTTTGAGTTTTAGCTTTGGCCTGACTTGAAAGGTACTGAACCATTATGATTATGTATGGTAACAGCATCTCTCCTCTTGCCATCCAACTTCCCCTATCGATTCCTTTTCTCTTTCCCAGCACCCTTCCAACCATCTATTGGGGTTTCCATTGGTAGAGTGTCTAAAGAGAATATGGAAATCAGCCAACTGCATCTTATTAATTTATTTATTATCTCACAACGAACGGACGCCACTGAAATTGTGAAAGGACAATGGCCGCTAAGGAGCTTTTATGCTTTCTTTTCGTCTGCTTCTTTGCCTTGGGAAGTGCTACCTACTGTACTTACGACAGTGATTGTTCCTATAGTGAGTCCTGTTGTACAGATAAAGTCTGTAGAGAGAGATGTTACTACTGTTTGTACGACTACCAGTGTGGAACGAACGAGCAATGCTGTGATGGGAAATGTATCAGCAGTTTCTCTTCATGTTCGTGTATGTACGACTACCAATGTGACATTGGCGAACAGTGCTGTAAAAGCAAATGCATCAGTAGCTCTTCTTCCTGTTCCTGCACGTACGACTACCAATGTGGATCGAGCAAGAAATGCTGTAAAAGCAAATGTATCAATAGTTTATCCTCTTGTTTCTGTTCGTATGACTACCAATGTGGATCGAGCAAGAAATGTTGTAATAGCAAGTGCATTAACAGTTCGTCATCTTGCTACTGTTCGTCCGACTACCAGTGTGACCTTGATGAGGATTGTTGTGGGGGAGTTTGTTCCTCATACTGTGGTTGGAGCGGTGGGTCTATTGCAGGCGCTGTTATCGGCACGATTATTTTTTTTGCAATCATCATTTCCATCGTATCCTGCTGCTGCTGCGCTTGTTGCCCGTACTACCGCTATCGTACACCCGGTGCTGTGGTCGTCGCCGGCCAACAGCCACAGCAACAAATCTTCTCAACCCAAATGATGACGACGCAACAAGTACATGCTCCTCCGCTGGTGAACTACAACCTGCCTTCTCCAGATGGATACGATCAGCCTCCTCCAGCAGGTTACAACCTGCCTCCTCCAGCTGGTTACGATCAGCCTCCTCCAGGTTTCAATCAGGCTCCTCCGCCCTACGCAAGCTATCCTCCACCACCAAACCAATATCCTCCTCCGTTACGACAAGCTTAAGCGGCGCCGATGCCAGCTGCAGTAAACGCCGAATAACCGAACCAGATATAATTAAAATAATTTGCAAGGTAACTTCTACAAGCGGATCAAGGTTCCGATGAAGTAAAATAACCTTTGGTTTTTATTTTTCATTTACATAGATGTAAACGTAGTCAAATTACTAAATGTTATGTAAGATTTTCCAAGGATAGTTCTAGAAGTATAAGTTAGGGAATAGGTTCTCTAATCTTAAGTGAAATTACACTAATCCTAGGTATGAGCTGCACGTTGTATATTTGCAAATTCGAAAATCTATTTCGCCTTCGTCGTCGTTCAAAGAAAAACAAAAAGTAGACATAGATTTCTTGTGCAAAGGATTTTTGTTGGAGATAGATGAGTCCGATCATTTGCATTAATTTTCCAGAATGAATATTGTATTCTAAGAAATGTAGTTTCACTTTAAGTGTCATATTAAACCGATGTGGCTGTTATTAACCGAGTCTATGGTTCCATCGACAGTTTTCGTTGTATTTCCGCTCATAAAATTTGTAAGATTACGATCGTTAGAGCAGTCAAATTGATGATCTCAGTAATAGGATTACACAGGTTTAAGATTTGTCTTATGAGCTCGGTTGGTTTTACTATATTTCAGCTGCTACCTTATCTACAGAAGTGAGTAATCTTATTCCGCCTCAGGGAGATTGGTTACTTTTTTCATATTTTACTTTTAGCTAATGGAATCTTTAGCAGATCCCTCGACAGCATATGCTATATCGATGTTGAGAAGTATTTATGTTTGAATGTTGTGACATTTTGTTTTGAATAATAAATTCTTGTTAATCAACTGCCGTGTGTAAGGTTCAGTCTGATATGAGAGTGGTCTAGGGTATTTCGCATCGGAACCAAGGTTTCCCTCAAACTTTTATGCTATCTTTGTTAGTGAGTAAATAAAAGCGCCTTTGTGTCTGGAAATACGTCAAAATGAAATATTTTAGAGCTCTCAATAACGAGAGGTGCAAAATCCCTTTTTAACCGATTGCGACATCGAAAATTTCAAAAGTTGAGAAGCTCGCTCCTGGTAACACATTGCATACAACAAGAAATCGTCTCTATTCCTAAATTATGTGATATTTAAGGGGTTTTAAGGGGTTTTAAAAGCATGTGTGTAATCAGTGGGTCGCTATAATTTATTAAAAAACACCCTGATATTGTTCAAAAGTGCTCTTTCTCTTTTCTTTTTTTTTTTTTTTATACAAAAAACAACTATATATATTACTTTAATTACAGCTATATTACTTACATCACGGCTACAGAAAATAACTTACAGTACAGTTACATCTATAGCTACATTACTTAATGGTATGATTGTTAACGAGAAAAAGCACCGGGCTCTTATCCTGCGAAAAACTGAGCACAATTTTTGTTTCCCAATAAATAATTCGATAGATATGTTTGGAATGACAATAGATAATAGGCTTTCTTTTGATAATCACGTATCAGTTATCTGTAAGAAAATAAATAATCAATTTAACGTCATGCTTAGATTTCGGAAACTTATTAATAAGGAGACGCTATTGAAGCTTCATAAAGCCTTTATTTTGCCGCATTTTTACTACTGTTCTTCTGTTTGGAATTTCTGTGGTGCGCGCAATGCCGACAAAATAGATAATCTAAATAAGCGCATTCTTAGGTTTATACTACAGGACTACAGCTCTCCATACGACATTTTACTAAGCAAAGTTAACTTAAAATCTCTATTCATTACACGCCTCCAGAACTTCATGATCACGTTATATAAGAGTCTGTTCTTTACGGATTATCCAGGTTATTTAAAAGATATGTTCACCGTACGGTCTTCATCCTACAATTTGCGTGGAAATCATATCATGTCCCTTCCCAACCCAAAAACAACGACATATGGTCTGCACTCTTTTTCATACTTAGCTAGCAAAATATGGAACTCTCTCCCAGACACTTACAGAACATTATATTTTCTAGAATTCAAGCAGGGGATCCTCAGATATGAAGATTTTCCACAGTAGATCTACAAGTTATATTGCATGCATAATGTTATATATAGTTTAAAAATAATATTGTATATAGTTTATAAATAATATTGTATATAGCTTTTAAAAAATATTGAATCGTAAGATAGCATATTTTTATTTCATTTTAGCTTATTTCCTCGAATATATTAGCCCTACAACTACACTGAATTTCGAGCTTAAATAAAGTATATGTATGTATGAATGTCTATGCTATAACGATGTCGAGCGGTATGTACGTTTGCTTGATGTAGCAATTTTTTTTTAAGAATAAATTTTTATTCATCCGCCGCTGCGTTCAAGGTTCCGTTTGATATGCCGGTAACCGGTTAGCAAGTAAAATTAACGTCAATATTTAGAATTTTTGCTTTGTTCTTGTAAAAGTGGCGAAAGTTTCATCTTGGCTGCTTAAAACTCAAGCAGTCAACACAGCGAACAAGAACTTGATAAAGTTCTGTCAACAAAACGAGTGGAAATTAATTCGGCATCAAAACATCACGTACAATGGACTCGACAAGGGTGGACTTCGCCCTAATTTTAGTTTTTTTGTTAAGAATTTTTAAACACATTTAGCTAGATTAAAATGATGTTGTGCCTAATGGGAGTGATAAATACAGAATTAGAAGTTTTTGGCTACCAAACTACGGGGGTGCAGACTCCACCCAAACTTTACCTCCTCAGCGCCTCTAAGCAAACTCCCTTGCAAAATTTCAGTTACTTCAATCAAAGGTAGATTGTGACATAAAGGCTTGCCACCACATTATAACAAATACAAATCACATCACCGTATTTTTATCAACTTCAAATATATGACTTTCATATATTCTTAACCGTCTATTCATCACTTCACGGGTTTATTTAGAACCACCATCATGACCAGCTCCCAGTTGGCTTATTAGCTCAGTGGGTAGAGCGCTGCACCGGTATCGCAGAGGTCATGGGTTCAAATCCGGTACAGGCCTCAATTTTTTTTTTCAGGCCTTATTTTCACTACTGCCTAAGTAGTGCACATCACTGCGAGGATCACTTTCATTCACGCCTTCATACTACAGATTTCAAAGTGATAGCATAATGAAGCAAGAATGTCTCAACCCTTAACTCTTTGCACTCCCCCGTTGGGTGGCTGGCTTTTGAATTTCACGCACTTTGCCGGTAAATTTGGCTAAAAACTTTAAATCTCAGATAAGCTCTCCCGTCTGAGCTTCTATATTCCTAGTGACATAATTCTAATTCGAAAGCGTTTTTTCCTAACTACAGTTTACTTCTATAATAGTGCGGAGTAATATATAGTTGGCAGCGCCCGTCGGCATTATAAAGTGAATCACGAATCACCGCCGCCTGGTAGGCTCATGTGGATGAGCGCCGGACTACTGTTCGGGAGGTTGGGGTTCAAGACCCAGACCGGACCCACACTCAGGGTCTTAAAATAACTGAGGAGAATGTGCTGCCTTTGCTATGATATCTGCAGGCGGTTAAACATTCTAGTGTTCTCGGATAAGAACGAAAAGCCCCGTCTCCTGTATCTTCTCGGTACTAGTTAGTAGGGGACGTTAAAGAACCCACACACTTATCGCAAAGAGTAGGGAACGTAGATCCCGGTGTTGTGGTCTGCCCTAGAAGGACCTTTAGGAACCTGACCGAGTCGAGCATATAAGCCTTCTAGAGAGGGAATCGTCGTAATATGGTAAATGATATAAAAATAGAACGTGTTCTAATCGGCCACCCGTACTATCTTGCCCGCTCAGAATTGCCCGCTTCGATCCCGCGCAAGAAAAAAAGTGTGTGGAGCAGACTTGTAAAGTTCTTAACTTTTGGGCAATATCTGCAATGAAGTCGCAAAAAGCAGCAGAAGACAGTAAAAACAAAGAAAACTAAATTTACCAGACCTTTTTCCGTTGAGTGCTCTCTGATTGCAATAGAATATAAATTGCAGTTTATAATCTCTTCTTAATTGTTAGAAGAAGCCTTAGACTGCTTAATATTCTCCAGCAGAACTAGAGATTAAATTAATCATAACAAGGTCATTCGCTTCTTACCACTCTCAACAGCTCCCATTTAATTGTAGCTCAACTTGCGAAACCTCGCACTTCGTAATCTGAATGAACAGGTATTGCTTTCGGGTGGGCCATTCCCGTATAGACCGTAGAGTCAATATCAACGTCGCCCCTCTCCACTCAAAGTTAAATCCGTGAGGCCCCCAAAATAAACCCATCATCGTGAAGGATCTTTGCGATATCCTGCACATACGTTATCTAGGTGTTTCTCTCTTTACACCCTAGCTGGAACGTGAATTGTAGTTTGTAAAAAGATCTAAAATATAATAAGCGGCAGTGAGACCACTGAATATGAATAATTTTCATAAAAGGTTTCAATTGGTTTAAATAGGTAGAGAATTCAGAAAGAAACCGTCTAAACTTTACACACGATAAACTGATACAAGATGAATACAAGTTACCATAACACAAAGAAGAAAAGTATTTTGAGATTTTGAATTAAAAGTTCCAGAAAGGGAACATCAGTATCTACAATACAGAACCAAGCTTCGTTGGAATGTTTAGAAACTCTCTATATAGAGTTACTCTCCAGAACACATGGCAGCTGCATTCTTTTCAACTCGATCGGTCACCTTTATCTCTTGGATATGGATCTCCGCTGGCGTGCTTTGTTTAGTGGAACTTTAACAGTGCGAAAATTTAGTGATGGTGTTATTGGATCGTCCGTTTGAGCGAAGTCCTAAGAAGGACTTTTGTCGGTAGTGGCGACTGACGTTTCGAAAACCTGAGCGGAAGTAAGAGAGTATCAAGGTGATATTCTCTGGCACTTTCCCATGACAAAATTGTTTTGCAATTATTATGGAAGTGAAACTTTTGATCAACGTGTTTACAACATATATGTGCCCCCACCACCTTATTATCCCTTGTCCTCCCCTTCCCCCTCCACCCCCTACACCCCATGCAAGCGGGTAAGAGTTCACCCTGACACATCCATAATCTCAAAAAATTAGTGTAGGATTGTAATCTAACCATAGCAAGGACAAATATTACTAACTGGATTCAATTTTGTTCCAACAAAGGTCGAACGAACCAAGTAGTTTTGGTAAACCAGCCAAATAATTACCTCAGTACTGTTTCTAGGATATTCTGAGTCCCGACAAGGCAATCGTAATTACTTTCCGGGGTAAATGTACCGTTTGTAGAGCTCGATAGTGCCCAGTCCTTGACTAAAATTTGCTCTGAATACTGTTTTGCCCTAATACATGAAAGGGAACGCTATGATTTAATGATTTCCTTCGATTCCACGTGTTTCAAATGCTTTTTTCAACAACTACATTTTTCACTAATTATTTATTCAAAGAGTCGACAGCTATTTCGACCACTTGCATGGATACCGCTTCTCCTTCAGGTGCTTACTGAGATGAGTTTCAGGTCTTCATAGAAGCAAGCACCAAACTCGCTTGTACTCAAGGCGATTCCTTATAGGCTGTTTCCTACTACGAACCAACAAACAAA